TTTGGTTGGTAAAATAAATGTTGTAAATTCAAATCAGAGCGTCTTCCGTGTCTGGAATGGATGTATTCTTGAGTCTATAAGGTAACAATAATATAATAAGATAACTAAAATACAATTTTCATTGACTAAAACTAGACTAAATGTCATCAGTTTTCGTCGACTAAAACTAGACTAAAATGCTCAGACTTTTAGTCGACTAAAACTTGACTAGACTAAAAAGAGTATGAACGTGACTAAAACTAATAAAAACTAAAATGACAACTTCACACAAAGACTAGACTAAAACTAAAATTAAAACAGGCCGCCAAAAACAACACTACCCCTATGCAGAAATTCAGTTGAAACCTTGATTAAAATTGTTTTCCAGTGGGTGGGGGTTGGATGTGGATGGTGCCCCGATGGTAGCTGATGCCAGCGATTAACAAAAATTACAACATACATGGCCTACTTTGGTTACTATGCAAGCTTGTTTCCGTCACAGGATAAAAAAGTAAAAACAGTAATTGTGACCTTTTTATCTCACAATTTGGACTTCTATTCTTGGAATTGCGAGTTTAAATCTTGCAATTCAGACTTTATCTGAATTGTGAGATAAATATACTTTTTTGACACAAAAGTAGTGGCATAATGGTTAGAGAGTTGGACGTGCAACCCAAAGGTTGAGGGTTCGAGTCTTATTACAGGCAGGGATTGTAGGTGGGGGGAGTGAATGACCAGTGCTCTCTTTCATTATTTTATAAACCAGTAGGAGCTGTTAATAGTTAGTGTAGGACTGAAGTAAGCAGGGAGCTTGTTTTAAAAAGAAAGAAAGAATGAAAGAAATTAATGAAAATCAAAACTTTAACCACTCAATGTTTTATTACTGTGTTGTCCCCCTTTTTTGAAAGGAAACCATACTGAAGGCATCACTCAACATGGATGTTGTTGCCATGAAGAAGGACATCTACTCATCAATCAAAAAAACCATTGAGAATGAAATGGCGTCTGGCTATAAAAGTAAGCTAGCATTAAAAGCTACTACAGTATTAAAAAAATACTGTAATCACAAATTATTTATTTTATTTGTTGCACATATGTGCTTACAAAACAATCACTAGCTCATTCTATATATATAAAAAAATAAAAAAATAAAAGGGGAAATTTAAACTAAAAGTCTTTACCAGAAACACAAAAGAATGAACAAATATTAATAGAAAAAGGTAATCAAAACATTGTAGGTTCAAACCTCACACTCAATGAACTGTCAGTTAACACCAGAAAGTTTATTTAAAGTTTAGGTAAAACCAGCTTCTGAAGGCCATCCTTATTATTGAGCTCTGATTTTGTATTTTCTTTAATAAACATATTCAAAATGGCACAATATATAAAAAAAATTAACGTATAATATTGATAAACGTTTTAGCAGTTTTATTGTAAATATTTTCTTGTTCTTATGCGTCTTCATGAGAAAGAATATAAATCAACTCTAAGTGTTTCTTATTTTAGAAGCTGCAGCTCTAAGAGGAACAGGATCCATGAACGAAAGGCAAATACTGTTAATAAACACGGTTGATGAGAGAAAACAAGACATGTTCAACAAAGCAAAAATTGAAATGCTTAAAAAGTTCAATAACCTAAAGGTACTGATTTTACATTCATTAGGACAAGCATGTGCTTAGATTTAGATTACAATGACTAAACTGAATCTTCTTTTGTTCTTTGTGCAGCTCTACATAAAGGATGCTCTTGAATCAGGACTAAAGAGAGCAATGGAACTCTTACTGTCACAAACCAGCAAATTCAAATGGATGGGTAAGAGAGAATGTCATCCTACTACAACACAGATAAAGTATTTGACAATCATGTATTGACAGATTAATCTCAACCATTGTCATTTCTAGATGTCTCCACAGAGATTAACGAGCTGGAGAGACTGTCAGAGCAACTGTCGGACTGATGTGCATCAAGCAATAAGAAACCCAAGAGAAATGGCACAAATTACAAAAGAAACAAACACATAAAAATACACATTTTCACTAAATGTTTTCATTATTTTAACAATGATTTATTGTTTTACTTAGACTTGTCTGTTGGTATATTGTTTCTGTACTTTGTTTGGTGGAAGGTGTATTTACCTTAACTTTTGGTTTTATTTTAGATGAAAACGGCATGATACAAAAACTGTATTTTATTGATTTATTGGTCTTTTTTTAGTCACAGCTGTCACAGTTACAGCAAGAAACATAAATGACATTTAAAAGCTTGGTGTAATTATCCAGTGTTCCATAACCTTACATTTAGAAGCATTTAGAGACATGAGAATATAGCAAGGGTTTTCTGGGGGGAAATTTCTGAAACATATGCAGTGGTATCTAAGCAACAGATCTGTTTTTTCATTATCCTGTTAATATAAAGAACATAGCTTCTCATGTGCATCTTTTATCTTTGAAATTACTTGATTTATTTAGCATAAAAGTGCATGTATCATTTTAGCTGTGTAAGGTTAGGAACAACTGTAAGTGACTGAACACAAGCAGAAATGCTGAAAGCAGCAGTCAAATCAGAGAAAGCTGTTTATCAGGAAATGACAAAAAAAAGTTATTTCACTTGAATTAATAAATGTGTTTTAAATTAATTAAAAATAAATAGTTGTCTTTAATCTGTGTCTTTAATCAACATTTTTACCCTCAGAAAGCACAGAAAAAAGTTATATTGTAGATTAATCGTTATTGAGTGATATTTGCAATACTTAATGTTGGATGAAAGGAAAAGTATGTTTCAAGCACAGGAGCACCAGCATTGACATGTATGATGTCAAACATTATTGTTCCATCATTAAACTACAGTGTTAAATCTCATCTACAAACAGCAAATAAGATATAATCTTGAGTACTAATAATATTTATATTTATAATCAAACATTCAATAGTTAAAAGTCATCACAGCTTTTTGGAACTGATTATGCCTAATTTTCATTGGTCTAAAACAGTAGTTTATCATGATTTCAATTACCCCAATCTTAGCCTAAGGGCCAATGCAACTCTTTAACCCTTAAAGGGTTAGTTCACCCAGAAATGAAAACTACCCCATGAATTACTCACCCTCAAGGCATCCTAGGTGTATATGACTTTGTTCTTTCAGACAAATCCAATCGGAGTTATATAAAAAATTGACATTGATCTTCCAAGCTGTTTAATGGCAGTCAGCAGGTGTTGCAGTTCATCAGTCCAAAAGAAGTGAAATAAAGCGCATCCTTTAATCTAGCTTGCGCTCACTGTTGTAAACGGAAGCAGTTCCGGGCAGATGACGTAAGACGTCGGCGTTGCGCATGCACTGCTCAGAAGTGACGAACGCAGAAGTGCAGCAGAGAGATCAAAACAAAGCAACGGTCACGAATTAGAAGTACAAAACGAGGATTTGTAAAGAAGAATGTCAGAGGATTTCGATATAAGCCAAGAGGAGATTGGTTTTCCTTTGCTAAAGTAAGGAAACTTTGCTTCCTTTGATCCTGTAAACAAACATTGCACTGTAAAAAATGTACCGTAGAGTTTACAGGATGTTACTGGCAAAAAAGTTGCCAATAAAATATTGTAAAAATCATGTTAATTGCTGTAAAATCGATTACAGTATAATATTGCAAAACAAATTACAGTTAATTGCTGTATGTGAAATACAGTAATTTGTAATATTTTTACAGTAACATTGAATTAAACTTGTAGTTTATTTTACAGCAATATTTTGTAATCTCACTAAAGTACAGTATTTACTTGGCAACAGAAGTTGCCAATAAAATCCTGTAAATATATTTTACAGCAATTTTTTGTAATTTCACTAAAGTACAGTATTTACCTGGCAACTAAAGTTGCCAATAAAATCTTGTAAACACCCCTAAATTCAAGATGATGTTTTAATAATTTAACAATGAAAACGCTGCAAAGAATAATTTTAACAGTAAATTGTAAACTGTAGAACATTAACTTTCTATAAAAATTCAGGTCAATCAACAGAATTCGTATAATTTTGGTTAACAAGGGATAAAATAAAATGCTGGAATCAACATTATACCACAAATTCTGTTGTTTGAGCTTATGTTCTACACTGTAACATCCAATAGTTTACCTTACTTAGATTATTTATTTATCTTTACTGGAGTTTGAACCTCTGCTTAATGATATAAATGGGAATCACCCACGAGCTCTCCTGTGAGCCGTCACAGCGCAGGGGAACGATTTCACTCTATCGCTTTGTTCTAAGCAACGGGGGCATCCCGGGGCTCGAAATTCGCAGGGTAGGAGGGGGTAGTGACTCTGGGTGTAACTAAAAAGGTGCCATTGTCCGGTGAGGTCTGGTTGTGGAGTTACGGAACGATCTACCTTTGAAAAAATTCAAGTGTGCAAAAGATGCCTGCTCCCGGGATGCCAGATTGAAGTTGTAATAAGACTGCAAATCCAGCCACAAAGTAGAGGTATGAATTCACAACTATTTGACCCTCGAAAAGCCACTGGGTGCACCTGAAATGAATAAATATAAGCCATAATGTAACCTAAAATACAGTATTTCAATATAAAATGTAATCTAAAATACAAGTTTATCAAATGATTTGCAACAGAATTAAGAATACATTACCTAATATAATCAGCTTCAGAGAGTCTTGAAGCATCAAACATTTCTCCACATCAGCTGCTATTCTTTGCACCTACAAGAAATAATGAAAATTATCAAGTAATTTTTTTAAATGCATTACATAAATGAGATCAAAATGAACACCCAAAAAGGCATATCTTTTAAAATAAACAAACTCTTACATTTGATTAATAAATGCAATTATAATAATACATTGTAGAACTGTACCACCAATCAAATTAAATCATTTATCATGCAAAATTACAACTGTGTTATGACATTAATATTTTACATTAATTTTTTAAATTACAAATAAGAAATGTTGGAAAAATGCTATAATACTTTTTAAACGTGAAACTAAACCGCCATTAGGTGGAAGCAAATAACTTAACGAGTGAGTCAATTGAGTCATTCATTTAATTGTACAAAATGCTGAATCATTCAGTAAAAACACCGCTGAGCTTTGCTTTGATCTTTGTTTGGAACGATTTTCGTTGGTGAAATAGAACAACAGTCAATATTGTGTCTAAAAAGTAAGTAACTTAATGTTAACTAATTGTGTATTGAACTATGTAACATTTGCAAATCGTGATAATCAGCAAAACATGAACATTTGCCTCATGTTTCTTGTGAGTTTATGTGTGCCGTTAAGGATATTTGTTTTGATGTTGAATGTAATAAAATCAGAATCAGTCTTGCGTTTCGATGCTTCCCTAGTTTTTTTTTTTTACCCAAGTTTTAATCAGGCTAACTTGTTCAATCGGGCATGTAAAGATGTCTTTCACTAAAAAACTGTCCCGGACAAGCTTTAATGTCACTACAACTACAGTGGCAATAGACACACATTTACATGTAACGTTAGTTTATAATTATAGTAAGTTGTCACGTCAATATGGGACAGTTGAACACATATGAACAAATGAAATTCCACATATTTTGCTGTTCGTCTGTTATTTCGACAGATAGTAGTTACTATGAGAATCGTTCGCGCTAGCTGACGCAGGTGAGGTGGATGGTCTAATGAACCCCTTTGACAGCTCCTCCTCAATATATGCCTTCATGGCCTCAGATTCTGGTTGCGATAGTGGGAAAACTCTACCTCTAGATGGGCTTGATCCTGGAAGAAGATCGATAGCGCAGGCACTGAGTCGGTGAGGAGGAAGTTGTGAGGCCTTGGTCTTACTGAAAGCGTCAGCGAGGACATTGTACTCAGAGGGTACTCCCGGAACCGGTGAATCATCTGTTATCTGGGCTGGTCATGGAGAGGAGTGCGATAGGTTACTGAGCAAACAATTCTGTTCGCAGGAGTCAGACCATTGTAGAATCTGTTTAGTTGTCCATGAAATTCGGGGGCTGTGTCTTTCTAGCCAGGGCAGGCCAAGGATGATGGGATTCTGAGGAGATTCAATGGCGAATAGGCGGATGGTTTCTGTGTGAATAATGGAATCAGGAGTAGAACTCACCGTAGCGGAACTTCGAGCGGCAGGACGAGTAGGACAGGAGGCTCTCAGATGGCCGGATAGACGGCAGTAGAGACAGAGATGATTATGAATTCTTCTCTCTCGTTCTTCATTTGTGAGGCGAGTGAAACCAATCTGCATGGGTCCTGATTCAGAGGAAACTGTGACTGTTTGAGTATACACAGGAATGTGGCGAGGGGTACGTCGTGCACGCATTAAATTATCAATGCGAATGGAGAGATCAATGAATTGTTCGAGGGTCTTCCCCTCGTCACGGCAGGCGAGTTCTGACTGTAACTCGGCAGTGAGTCCCTTGCGATACAGCAGTTTAAGTGGTTCGTCCTCCCATCCTGACTGTGCTGCGAGGGTGCGGAATGAGAGAGCATAATCCGCAGCTGTGCTTCGTCCTTGTCGTAGAGCGAGTAACTGTTCTCCAGGCTCCTTTCCGCCCGCTGAATGCTCAAAAACCTCACGGAAACGTTTCAGAAAGCAGTTAAATTATGGAAATGACAGCCGTCTCCCCTCCCAAGCAGGAGTGGCCCAGTCCAGAGCTCGTCAAGTCAACAATGAGCAAACAAACGAAACCCGACAATCTCTTCGGTGGGGTATAACTGCGGTTGTTGATCTACAAACATGGAGCATTGTAATAGAAAGCCCTTACATCTTTCCGGTGAGCCGTCGAATTTCTCGGGAAATGCCAGACGTGGGCTGGTAGATGAGTGACTGGGACTGGGAATAGTTTGTGACGGAACGGATGGAGGAATGTTGGGCTCAGGCATGGTGACGCGAAGGGCTTGTAGCGTCCTCACCATCTCTTCCGTGAGCGCGGTGAGTCGTTGCAGCTGTTGTTGATGAGACGCTAACATGGAGGCCTGGGCAGAAACCTCGGTGGTTAGCTGATAGATCGCTGCTGGTTCCGTGTGTGGCGAAGTCTTCTGTAACGACGAGTCAGAGGC